GGACTAAACATCTGCCTGGAAAGCACAAGGACTCGGGTTTGATCCCCAGTACTGTATGCTGTGCTGGTCCCTGCTGAGCCAGCCACAGAAACCAGGTGTGGTGGTGCACACCTGTAATCTCAGCGCAGGGGAGGCTGAGACAGGAGGATCACTATGAGTCAGAGCTGGGTAGCAAGACCTTGTACCAAATAAATAAATAAATAAATAAATAAATAAATGCCTGTGTAACCATGTCAATAAACATTACAATTAAATGAATTAAACAACCAAGTTTGGGGCCAGGTATATAGCTCAGCAGCGTAAGCATCTGCCTGGCAAAGGTAAGGTTCTCAGTTTAATCCCTGGTACAAAAAAAACAAAAACAAAAAAACCCAAAACAAAAACAAACCACATTTGAAAAGCAGGATAAAAGTAACAATAACAAAAAGGTTTCCCTTCCAAGGAAGGATTAATATAGATAAAACAAAAATAAATAGAAGTATTCTTTGTAAAAAAAAATAATAAAATAGACCAACTGTTAGCTAAGCTAATCAGTAAAAACAAAGAGCAAACACAAAATTAGAGATGTCAACAGGACAAAACATCAAAACAGATATTTTAAAACTCATTGGAGTCTACGTCACACAATTCTAGGTAACCACATTTGTCAAACTGGAGTGCATTTCTAGAAAAATGTGGAATTATTGATTTTAATGGAGAAACTTAAAAGGTCTATCACACCCTTCTGTAATAGGTGGCTACACAGAAAGAGAAAGTTATAATAAATTGCAATGATGCCCTGGAATTCCTGAGAAAAAAATTTTCCCTGAAACCATCCATCAGGGCTGAGAAAATGCCACCATAGCAGATTACACAACAAGCTTCATAATACGACACTTATAATCCAAGAAACAGTTTTGTTTTGATGGGTGGACCCAACTTGGAATGAGCAGGAAGTGGAACTGGGCACAGAACTGGAACCAACCCACAGCCTAAAAGCACCAGTATCTGCCAGGACCTCACAGAGGATAGACCAGCCTGGCAGTGACCGCTGTCAGAGAGGCTGTGAGGGGCACTGAACCAAGGACCACACAGGTCATGCTGCCGTCACATGCAGAACACACCTGTCACCACCGGGGAAAGTCTTCAACGACATCTGTTCCAGCCACCACGAGCGACAACTCTTCTTTGCTCATGATGGCCATCCAACACTTAGCTAAAAATTACCACAGTGTTCGATCTCTGGGTTGCCTCTGCTCTTTGACAACATTCGATCCATAGTTGGACTCTCCTTTCCTATAAAAGTTCCTGGTACATGCCCACATGCTGCAGGCCCCTCCAGCTCCTGTGCAAGGTGCCCCTCGGTTCCTCTGGCATGCCTCCTCCTCTGCTGCAGAAAGCACGTTGTCTTTGCCTATAGAAGTGTGCCTGGTGTTCTTTGGTGGGTGGTCACTATGGATAAGTGACCAACCCTGTACACCATGGAATTCAGAATCAAATCTCTGAGCAATGTCCCACTCCAGGATAATGTTTAGCAGCAACCTCAACAATGAAAGAAAACAACCTGTGTGAAAGATCTAGGTCTAGTGCTGGTGCCTCCACAAGCCTTCCTGTTCTACTCACTGGCTTTTACATCCACTGCTGAGGAGCATGCCTTTACCCAGAGTCTCATCCCCAGTTTGACTTCCTCTCTTGCCTTCTGCCTCTCTCCATTCCTTTATTTTTGCATGCCAACCTGGCCTGTGCCTGACCAAGGAAGAGCTCCTTAGGAAGAAGAAAGGAGGGGATTGAGGGCTGATCTCAGGAGGTTTCTTGGTAGATTAGGGAAGTGTGGGAGACAAAGAACCTGTGACCTGGCACCTTCTGTCCTGTGCTACTGTAGATATTAATGGTTTATGAGCAGGGTCCTCTTCACTGACTCACCCCAGCCTCTCGACAGCTGAAAAGAGGTGTTGGTGATTGCAATTGCCCTGCACAGTAGCAGTTTAAATAAAAGGTTTATGCATCCAATAAGTTAAGGTCCAATTCAAAGCCTCTTGTTCCAAGCAAAGCCCCCATTTACTGCCTGACCCACATTAACATCAGTGATAGTGATGTGTTCCTACTGTGTACCAGGCCAGCCCTACATGGTTTATATCAGTGCTTCTGAAACTGCAGTGGGAGGGATACGCCCGTTGCCTAGGTATCTTGTTAAAATGCAGGATCTGATTCTACCTGCCTGTGTGGGACATGAGAGCCCCCATGTCAAATAAGGTTTTGGTCACTGCCACGGCCGCAGCCCACAGACGACACTCTGAGTTGCACAGTTCCTCAATAAACCCCCACAACAGCATTTCTCCTTCTGACTGCCTTTGGGCATCGCCATTGCAGCCCACCCTAGTTATGCCAGTCTTCCTGGCGGTAAGACCCAGGCAGCTCATGTGAGCAGCCAAAGTTGGAAAGTGCTGCTGTCCGAGGTTGGAGAGCGGTACCCTCATTTCACAGCTGAGAAGCAAGTGTAGAGGCATAGTCACGCTGCCCCAGCCTGACATGTAGCCAGTGTTGGAGGTCAATTTTGTTATTGTTACTATTATTATTATTATTATTATTATTATTATTATTATTATCTGTATTTTAGGGAAAGGTCTACAGGGTAATCCGGGTCTCACTACTAAATGGACTAATAGTGATCTGCCTGTTTTCAGCCTCCCAAGAGCTAGGATTACAGGCAGGTGCCACCATGCCCAGTCTCAAATGCCATCTCAGCGCGTCCTGGGGGCAGGGCTGGCACGGCAGGCTCGGGAATCAAACCCTTGGCCCCTGTACCTGCTTCTAGGCACTTTAATCCACTGAACTATTTGGCCGGCCCTATTGGAGGTCAATTTTAAACCTAAGAATATGTAGCTCCAGAGTCCGTTTGCCCAGTCAGCCTTCTATGTGGCCTCCCAAAGAGAGGACACGGGTTCCAGTCTATTCCTGGTATTAAATGAGAAAAGCCAGCCTGCACACACAACACTGTTAGAGAACAGCCCGAGTCCACAAATGCCCCAGGTGGAACATTCTCAGCAGGACTGACGGCCCTATGAGGTTCTCTGCAATGCCCAGGGCCTGAGTGTACACCTGGCTTTCCTGTGATACCTACCGAGCAGGAGGGTCCCCCCTACCCCAGCACACTGAGGTCTTAAGTGTAGGGGAAAGCCAGGTGCGTTAAATCAGGGGAATTTGTTCTGAAATACTAATGATGGAGGAAGTGGGTCTGGAGAGCAGGGGGAGAAGAAGAGAGAAGAGCAGAGCAGGGAGAAGAGAGGCGAGACTCTCCAAGGCTTTATCCGACTGGAATTGTGAAGCCCCAGGCTGGACAGCAGCCAAGCTCCTGCCTCCTTCTGATGGGAAGCAAAGGGCTCCCCAGAGCCAGGCTTGCTGGCAAAGGCTGGGCTCACCCTCCCATCTGGGAATTCACTAATTAAGGCTTAGCTTTGAAGGCAGATAACAAGCTAATCAAAAGAGGAAGCAAAGCCCCAGAAACCATACTGCCTAATGAGCAGTGCTGGAGTGCACAGTGTGGTGGGGCGGTGGGGTGGTGGGGTGGTGGGGCGGTGGGGTGCCCTTTAAGCTACAGCATCCGCACCAGCAGTTTTGAGCAAAAGATCGAAGAGAGAAGTCCCAAGATAAGAGATTTAAAATCAACAACAGCACAACCTTCTCGCACCAGCCACCTCCCTTGGTCTTCTGTGCCACCTCACTATCTCTTCCTCTCACACACTGAGCCCACAAAGTCCCTGTCCACCAACAGTGACACCTGAGCCCAAAGCCAAGACAGCTGGCTGAGAGGGGCAGGCGAGAGGTGAGGGGGCCAGAACACAAATAAAAAGGCAGGGTTTGCATTTGAGGGTGAAACGTTTGCTCTATGCTTGAAGACAGATATTTGGAGCATTACAAGACTAAGTTTTTGTTCTGGGTTTGGCTTCATGAGTCATGTAGGCTGGGGATGAAACACAAAGAGTGAAATGAAGCAGTGACATTTACCCGATTTTCCTTCCCTGGTATGAAGTCCCCAGTGCACTCTGACACCTGAGAGCCGGCTTAGGCGCTTTCCTGGGCTGTACTCCCTCGAGCGTCTTGCTTTGCTCCAGGATGAAAGCAGCTCCAGGCCTTGTCCTAACGGCACCTGTGCACGTCTCCTTGGTCATAACCTTCCCGAGTTTCAGATCAGTATGACTATGGACACATTATGGCATCAATCCAATGCTGTCTTAGTCACTTTCTTTGTCACCGAGACCCAATACCCAGTAGCACAACTGAAAGGAGAGGTTTATTTATGTCTTCAGGCCATGACCAGCCAGCTCCAAGGCAGGAAGGGCATGGAAGAAGAGGCCAGGCAGAGGAAAGCTGCTCCTGCTGCCCAGCCAGGAAGCAGAGAGAGAAGGGAGGAGCCAAGGAGCCAAGAAGGCCTGTGTCCCCGCAGGCCACACCTGTGGCTTTCTTCCTCTGATGTGGCACACCTCCTCAAGGCACATGCAGCCGCAGGTGGATAAATCCACCCATGAATATGCTCCCCTGTGATCCAATCCCCTTCAAAGCCTCCAACTCTGAACACATTTCAGATCTGAACCCTAACAAATACCCACATGGCTCCTCTTGCTGCAGTATCCAACAGAGATGGAAGCCTTGTCTTGTGTCAGGTTTTCTCTTCCACCCTTCCCTCTTTTTCAGTCTGTTTCAAAGATTCAAACTCTTCTCTCCCATCCAAAATGAAGCACCATTAAGTCCCCGTCTCCTACTTGGGTCTTCCCAGTTCTGCAGTTTCTGGTTGCCTCTGATGTGAATTGGATCTGATCTTTGCCACACTGACAAACTCAAAATACCTGGGTAGGAGTCTGACTACAACCCTTTTCCTTTTCCCTGAGAACTTAAAACTCAAATACAGCTCACCGTGGCCCAGGTGTTTTCCTGTTAGACACCCTCAGCCATTCTACATGATAGGTTTTATCTACTCATCTCCCCAGTTATACCATGAAGCCCTCTCTCAGTAGTGTGACAAGGAAAGGCCCTCTGCCAAGCTAGTCTTTCCTAAGATACAGTTATTTCATCTGGGTTAGAGAGGGTTGAAAGTAGGATGGACAAGAGGGTGGGCTTGTGCATCCAGGATGTCTTTTCACTATCTACAGCCAATACATTGCCCTCTCACCTCTAAGCCTCAGACCTCCCAAACTAATGGCACAACTGGAGTCACCTGGGACCTTGCAGGAGCCCTGGTACCCAGGCCATGCCCCCCTAATAGTCTGTAGCCCAAGCTGTGCCCAGTTACACAGCTTGGAACCAGGCTGCACCCCAGGCTGTGCCCAGCTGTCATCAGATGTCTCCATATGCCTCTAATAATGGTTGTTTGAAATTTGGCTACACATTTAGGATTTCTCTGGAGGCTCTTGAAACACTTATGTCCATTCCCAGATAAGCCTGGGAAGGACACTGGTAAGAAGACGGGTTCACCTTGAGAGCATGATGCTAAGTGAGATAAATCAGACACACAAACTTAAATATCACCACGTTTCTCTTTGTGAGAACTCCCGAGCATAAATAAAGAGCAAAACAAAGACAGGTAATAGGAAGTGGAGAGGTGGGCCTTTCACAAAGGGAAAGAAGATGGAGAGATGGAGGGAGGGGAGAGGGATGAAGGGATGGACTTAAGATGCAGTTTGCACACGTACCAGCCCCAAGGAACGTAAATGTTATGTACCACAAATGCATAATAGGAAAAACATTACTTCCATCTGTCCCTATCCCCAGAGATCCTGGCTAATGAAGACCTTGGGGTGCACGCTGGGCGCTAGGGGTTTAAAAACCTCCCTAGGTGGGGCCTGGCCTTAGCTCAGTTGTTTAAGTGGCTGCTTCCACAAAGCTGTCAGCCTCAGGTTGCTGTAGTTCGATCCCCACAACACTAGAGCCAAAACCACCCCTGAGAGCATTCGGAGAAAAAAAAAAAAAAAAAAAAAAAACCTTAGAGATGGCTCAGTGGAATAAGTGCTTCCCTGGCAAGCACAAGGGTGTGAGTTCAATCCCTGGTTCCGCAAAAAATAAATAAATAAATAAAATTTAAACAAAAAAAAAAATTGGGGCTGGTGAGATGGCTCAGTGGTCTAAAGCACCTACTTAGTACAAGCTAAGCTAAGCAAAAACACAGGGACCGCGGTTCAATCCCCCAGCACCACATGCCAGCCAGCCCTGCCCCCCTGGTGGGCTGAGCTGGCCACACACACACACACACACACACACACACACACGCAATAAATAAATAAATAAATATTAAAAAAAAAAACCTCCCTAGGTGAATTTATTGCATAGCCAAGGTTGAAACACCAATGTTTTAACCATTTTCTTTACCCCATTTTTCCAGCCTAGGCACCAAATAAAACTTATGAAAATAAAGGGAAAATACCAGCAATCTACTGGTTGCTCTATTCACGAGATCTTTTCCACAATCATTTATTGCACTATGGACTTTTAGATAGAAAAGGCAATGTGGGGTTTTCAGGTGAAAAGTCTGCACCTATTCCTTTCTTTTACCATCTCCTCCTCTTTCTGAGCTGGGTCCCTGCCTGGGGAGCATAATAATAATACCAACAACAAATAAGAGCACTGGAGCATTTGAGTCGCTCCTCCTTGACTTTCATTTTTAATTATGTTCTAATGACTAGGTTGTCAGAGATGCCCTGATAAGGAGATCTGCCTGGAGTCCTGCAAAAGGACCCTGCAACTCTCGAAAATGCTTGTGCCAAAACTCCACAATGTATATGTGATCACATGTGCGGGTGATGGGATAGCAGCCCCAGGCCTGGGGCCCTGGGGAGTAGAGTTACTCTAAACTCACTTCACTATCTTCACATCCAGGGAAGGATGCGAGCATGTTACAGATCAGAGGGGATACCAAGATCAACCTAGAATGTTTAAATAATTGTGGAAGTTACAGCAGAAGCAAAGGGTAAGGCTACAACTTCTTAGTCTTAAGACTCTTTTTCTATATAACAGATTTTTATTATATCCATGGTGAGGGATGATGTCTTTCAGGAAAACATTGGACCTGGAAAGGCAACAGATTCAATCTATAGTGAGCCGCTGATGTGCACAGTGCAGTGCATTCAAGGACATGTATGCATGTGGAAAGCTGGCTGTGCATTTTAGTCTCATCTGTCATTAGATGCTACAGGGTCAATAACAAACGATCTTTCAAATATGAAGGTATGGGTTAGCCCTGAGACACTGATCCCTAAATTCTGTGACTTGCTCAGACAATCTGTGTGTCCTTATGACTTTTTCATTATTATTTTAAAATACTTATTTACTATTGAAACAAGATAATAGTCATATGGTAAACAAGAAATATGAGTTACACTTTCTACCTTAATATTTCCTTGACAAAGAGTGGTTTCCAGAAGTCACACAGCTGGCAGCATCTGCCAGTGCATTGTGAGTGGAAGGATTCACTAGGGGAACTGCGTAGTTCTATGCTGGAACCAGCAATATGGTTTCCCCATCATTATCCTTGAGCATTCATGAGAAGTGTGCTAACTAGCTAACAAGCAGGCAGTGGAAAATAGGCTGTAGTTCTCAAAGGGGGAATCCCACAGGCCCAGTCTTCTTGGAACAGTACACCAGTGCAGAGTGGGACCAATCTCCTTAGGTATCTACATGGTTGGTCAAGCTGATTAGCATGTAGGCTGCACAACTTCCCCTGGGGTGGTCTCTCTAAGTTAGCTCACTGGAAAGAGGAAGACGTGGCACTGCCTTGGATTGCTGCCTGTCTCCCCTCACTTTGCACGCAGGACACACTAATCAGGACAGTCTTCACAATGGTCCACTGTGACAGGGATCTGTAGTTAGAAGGAACGTGCATGAGGTCTGAACTCAACTCTGTGAAGCCAGGACAGTGGTTCTGTCATTCATGGTTGAATGCTAGCCCTAGCACAACAGGGACTTGATAAATGCACGACATTAGTGTTCCATAAACCTCACCAGCACTCTCTTGGTCACCCAGCACTCTCTAGGTAGATGCAGGTCTGCTTGTGAAGGTGGAGCTGATTGTATCCCAGCAGGGAAAAAGACACCTGTAATACAGCACTGATATTGTCTCTAAATAACCACGTGGCCACTGGACTGTGCTGAGACACACTCAGACACTTGGGACACTTGCACGTAATCTTCTTCTTCCCATCTGCCTGACAAGGGTATTTTAATAATCAAATGGATAAAAGAAACACAACAGCACCTAAGGACACACCCATTGCAGTACCAGGGATTGAACTCAGTACCCCAGCCCATCTTTAGGAGTCTTGCTCATTGCAGGTCCTTATAATGCTTTTTAACAATGAATAAGATGATCATAAAACCCTACTGCCTATCCTACATAATACTAGACATTCTATTCCTTGGTGTCAGATTTAAGCTGAGATGAATATCCTCAACATTTTATTCCTGTAGTTTCCACACATTCTCCACAGTCCTCTGGCTATGGACAGCTACTCACCAGCAGGCTCATCCACCCACACACATAGAGCATCCATATCCCCTGTTTCTGCCCAGGCCCTTCCCCTCAGCTGCGCTTTCCCTCTCCTTCCAGCATAACTGAACTTCACATCTGCAAATGTCATCTTTCAAGTCTTCCTGAAGGTGCCGTCTCCCACCTTAGAATGCAGTGATTACAGTATACAGCTAATTAATAGAATGTCCTGGCCATCCAGTTAGATTGTAAACTCCATAAAGATGAAAAATACTTCTCACCCTTCTTTGGAGCTCACCCAGTGAGTATGTAGAAACTGTGAAAAACCTCTCAGTTTCTAGTGGAGCATATATATAGTTACCTTAATAGTTATAGTTGAAAGACATCCAAGATCATTTTCATAGATAATTTTGCAGACAAAAAGGAGGTATAATGAATGGTATGTACAATCTTCAAATTAAATGCCAAGGAAAGAGAGCCAGTTAACTTGTTTTGGAAAAAAAGACTCCAAGGCAATGGTGCAGCTGAGCAATCACGTGCCTCAAAGAAATGAATATGGCCCTGCAGAGAGCTGTACTGGGCCTTGATGGTCCCCAGGCTGCTTTGTGAGAAGCCTGCTTGGAGCTGGGCTTGGATGTGGTTCTGAAAGTTGGCCTGAGAACTTGAACTAATCATCCTAGAAATGCCTGATGACCTGCCGATGAGTGAGAACAACTATTGGAAGCAGCCTTTTGTGTGTGTGTGTGTTGGGGGCATGTGTCCTTCACGTCC